AGATATTCGGAGACGTCTCCGGACAGACACTGCGTAGGCCTACAGCATACGGACCGTAGGCCCACGGCCGAAGATATTCGGAGACGTCTCCGGACAGACACTGCGTAGGCCTACAGCACACGGACCGTAGGCCCACGGCCGAAGATATTCGGAGACGTCTCCGGACAGACACTGCGTAGGCCTACAGCACACTGACCGTAGGCTCACGGCAGAAGATATTCGGAGACGTCTCCGGATATATACTGCGTAGGCCTACAGCACAATGACTGTACAGCACACGACAACGGCGACGACGATACTGTTGTGCTTTCCCGAAGAGAGCGCGGGGCAAGCCCAGGGTAGACGAACGAACCGACGGAAGACCGCGTGGATACCTCGATTTAATTAATTAAACAGTTGTACGCGATTGGTGAGAAAGTGTACGGGTTTTTAATACCTCTGTCAACACCGACGCGACGATTGCACAAAAATCAAAACAAACTCAATCAATGACATAATTAAATTATAATATACCAATGTAGCTTCCTCGGTTTAGGTCACAGAACTGCAGATTAAACAAGACGAATTAATCTTTTTAGGAAACAGCATTACCTATAGTCCGTCCCCGCTTAATGACTATTTCTTCCGAGGGACACTTTAGTTCTTTTGTGAACACAGAACCAGCCCGATGAAATGTGATTAAGATTAAGCTGTTACTTTTCTTAAACCCTACGTGGTGAAGGCCAAGCGATATGAGTGTGACGTATAATATATTGAAATGCGTCAAACTATGGGTTCTGTCATAATATGTTGGAGAATAATATACACCAAGAACAGCAGGGGGCAGTCCACATTTTTAAAATGTAGAAAAAAGCAAAGTCGAGCTGTTCAAGCTTACAAACTGGTGACGCTAATATCCATGATGAATTATAATAGACATGATCTGAGCAATAATGGGTGTATGTATGTAAAATGGAATTGCCTCTACAAACAACCAAAAAAAAAAAAAATTAAAAAATCTATCGCACGACAGCTGCTCAAGCAATAAATATCTACAAAACACCCCAGAAATAATGCAGAATAAAATACACAGTACCTTTATACACCAAAAAATCGCTCAGTTCCTTACTCTTGCATCATTAATTCTTGTTTTTCAAACAAAAAAAAATCATCATACACACAACATGAATACAGATTAGAACATCGATGATGACAACCCAGAATAGAGAACGGCGACAACGAGGAGACGATGACGATTAATTCCACTTGCCTCAGTCCAGTCGAAGAAAGAGAATGCAGGCTAACCATTTGGACAACGTTCACAGCTTCACAATGAATAAAACACGTAGAAGACAACAGATAGAACGAGATGACAACAGTGCAGCATGGGCCACCAGCGAGATAGAGAGCGGTACAATCTTAATGAATGGTCGAAGACGAAATAAATAAATTATAGTTTCAATAGATAGACAGACGG